TCATAAAACTTGTGCTCCAGACCTTTCACCAGCTTCATTGCCCTTCTTGTAGTGAGGGGCCCAGAACTGGACACAGGACTCAAGGCATGGCCTCACCAGTGCTGAGTAAAAGGGGAGGATTACTTCTCTGCTGGCCACACTATTTGTGATACAAGCCAGGATGCCACTGGCTGTCCTGGCCAGCTGGGAACACTCTCGCCTTGTGTTCATGAGGCTGTTGAACTGCACCCCCAGGTTCTTTTCTGCTGGGCAGCTTTCCAGCCACTCTTTCCCCAGCTGTAGTGCTGCATGGGGTTGTTGTGATCCAAGTGCAGGACCCAGTACTTCACCTTGTTGAATCTCAGCAATATGGTATGGGATGTATTCTGAAAACTGTATCTCACATAAGTGCTTTACAAATGTGGGAAATTTCAGATTCCTCTATTTCTACTGTCCTAGGTACATAAGAAATGGATCAGACCAGTGGTCCACCTAACCCTCTACTCCATCGCTGAGCGCAGCAGTGGGAGAGCGCACAGGAGCCTTGCCACCTCCCGAGTTCATTCCCTCACACATCAACATAACCCACACTCTTTGTATTACAGGGCACATCCCTGCTCCTTTTCTTTAGTATCTGAATCATGGAATCATAGATTCACAGAATCTTAATAACATCATCTGGCTGTCAGACTACTGGCCATGAATTTGTCTAGCCTCACTTGAAGCTGCTGATACCATCTGCCCCATAGTTCCCTGTGGCAACAGAAGTTCACTGCCTACTGTGTAAAGATGTACTTTCTCAAATGTGCTTTAAGATGCTCTATCCCTCATTTCAGTGAATTTCCCTATTCCGTTATTGCAGGTTTTGGTGATTAGCAGTTCAGTTTAACTAACATTTACATGACTTTTTAAATTACCCTTAGTTCCAGACTGAAGAGTTCTGTATTTTCACAGTATGTTTAGCCTCTGGAAAGGGAAGAATGGGAGGTTTTAAGCCTGTCACCTTTTATTTTGTCCCACTTCCCACTCCAGCATGGTCATCCTTTCCTCTCATTCTAAGTGTAATGGAAAAACAGATAGCACCGATGCAACTACGGGGGAGTGGGAGGCAGGGGTTGATAAAGAAGTTTGACTTTGCCTCTGGTTGTGGGACAGCCCACAACCTTGTTATATGCAAGAGCCTTGCTGTTGACAAGGCTCTTGCATGTATACCAAGCTCTGTAACTAATCTCTGCAAACAACCATCCCCATAGGACTGTTATTCTCATAGGGTTTGTGAAAAGGCAGTTCATTAAACCCAGAATGCTGACAAATGTATCAATGAGAGGCTCATTGATCTTTCTGCATCCACACTGACTGCTGGGGCTGGAAGCTGCTCATGATGGTGCTGGTGTAAAGCAGCTTCTTCAAGGGTGACAAGTGAGACTCCTCAGCAATAGATCACCTTTTGAAAGTCCATCATTTGAAGATGGATGTGCCTCTTTGTCTTTACAAATTTTTTAAACTGCTAGTGCTTAACACTGTCTAACATGTGCCTCTTAATATATATTTGGCCAATTTTCCGCTTGCCAGTCTGGAAAATCAGCACACAATCATCTTTCAATATTGGGTTTTGTACACAGCTAATGTTAATGGAAAATAGGGGACTGTTAACAAAGACAAAGAGCATAAGCTGACATTATTTCCTTCAAGCTTCATTCAGCAGGAATGCCCTGTCAAGTGGAGCACATTATTCCCAAAAGCATTTTGAAAATGGGTGGGTGAACATCCTCTATCATTCTGTAATACTTGTTAAATATCAACAATTTTGTTGGGAGGGATGTAGACATGGAGGGTGTAGCTAGAGAATTGACACTCCCAAGCAAAGGGTAATACAACAATAATGTTTCGGTTAGCTCTTTGTAAAATAAATAAATAACAGTTTAAGTGGGTGAAAAGCTAGACAGAGCCTGGCCTAAGTTTACAGCTGAAATGTATGCACATGGAAAACAGAGGACAGAGTCCTCTGCAAGCAAAATTATCTGCCTGTATTTGCCATTGGATCTGCAGTACATAATTTACAGAAGCAAGTGTCTTACAAATGTTTCCTTAATGGTTTCCTTAATTATTCTAATTAATGAGTGCCTGGTAGGTTGCTTCAGCCATTGGAGAACTCAAGTGATGTGTTTCTACTCCTACCTTGTCTTCAGAAATTCCGTAAGACAAGAAATCAAGAATAAAATACAGTGATGAGGAAGAAGCCAGTGACTAGAACTTGAAGGAAAATAATAAATACAAGAATTACCATGATTCAAAATGTAGGTACAGTGCTGGAAAAAGGCACCACTCCCAAGAACAGAGGGGAAAATAGTTTACTGTCTTACTGCCTGGCATGACTAGTTGTGTTGTGGATGTCTTCCTTTTTTTGCTGGTCATAGTGACAAGAGAACAAAGACTTGACCCTTTTCATTCTTTATATATTAAGCTATAACCTCACATTTTGAAAACAGTAGAGAATAACGTATTACTTGGCAATCTAATATCAAATTATGAGCAAATTCATTCAGGAATAAACTAAAGTCCTACTGAACCCAAATTGCTGCTTAACTGAATGAGCTATGAAAATATAATTATGTTTTGGGAGTTCATCTTGTCTTTCTGAATAACTCTAAATATAGATTTCACAAATCAGTTCATAAATTGTTTTGCTTTTCTTCTTTTTTTGAACTTTCCTAAGTCAAGTAATGCATCAGTACCTGAGAGTATGCACACTATAGCAGTGCTATAACACTAGAGATGCAAGTTCATGTTTCTTTTCTTAATGTTATTCTAGAAAAAGTACTCCAGTATGTTATAGAATACTAGGGCACCATTGCTTTGCCATGAAATTTGGTTGTCTGAATCAACTAGGTGACATCAAGGATTTGCAGCTAAATGCAAATCAATACAAAGGTGGAAGATAATAGCACAAGAAGTGGTTTGTTAGAGGGAGAAGTTTGGGTCACAGGTTTTCAAATACTGAGGTTCTGTTGTGTAATTAATCTTCCTCTTCCCAGTGCAGAGCACGTATTTGCTTTAAAATAATACTATCCATTTTTTCTCTAGGTAGAAAAGTATTCATGGTGGGAGTCAAAAGAAGCTAATGAGGTAGTTAAATGATATATATTCAAAACAATCCAACAGTATTCTTTTTTCTTGAAAAGAAAGAGAAATGCTTTTTTTCCTACAGAAAATGTCTGAGTTCCTAAAAATCATAGAACCTAACTGTACAATGTGATCTGTATTAACAGTTTTATATGAATGAAAAATGCTCCTGAAATTCATGCTGCTAACAAGGGTCCTTTATGCTAATCACCTTAGAGAACCTGCCCACCAAGGTTAATTTCCAGTTGATCAGCTTAGGCATGAAAAAGAAACATGATTATATCTGCCAAAAATATTAGAAGCACCAATGCTGTTAGTTCAAAAGGAAATTATTTGTAAACAAAAGCAGAGTATGATCTGATCACTAATATCAAGAGAACACAGTAAGCATAGCTGCAATTTTAGAGCAGGCAGAAGCTTTCTACAGCTCCCTAGCTGAATTATTTTCCTTTTAATGTCAAACCAAATGTGCTGCTAGAGGATCTTCAACACAATAACACAGAGCATTGCATTAAGGCTTTCCTTAGCAAAGGTTGAGCTTCTCAAAAAAGGAGGATAGCAATAGCCAAGAGCTAGAAATTCATCCCAGTGAACTCTTTCTGTCTGTATCTCTCCACTTCAGAAAGAGATTTTGAATTTTAATCACTAGGTCTCAATTTCACATACTTTTTTTCCGAAGTATAGAATTAATGCAGGAAATGCAGTATCTTCTTCCTCACAATCTGCCTAATGATGGTCTGCACATGGCTCATTCTGGACCCCAGGTATAATACATGGTCTTAGAGACCCGTGTCAGCCTCATTTATCTCTTTTCCTTTCATAATTACCAGTGAAAAAATGAAGTGATCCTAGGAGTAAACAGAATAAAGCACTTCATTTCTGCAAGAGGATAGAAGGAAATATTACAATCTTTTCTCCTCTTCTCAGGCTTATGGGTACAGCACTGCTAAAGATAAAGGCTTCCTGTAAGGCATCAGCTTCTAGGAGTGTACTGAGACATTGCAGTTCTCCTTTTTTTTTTTTTCCTTTTTGGCGATGTACATTTCCTACAAGCCATAAATATTTTTTTAAATTTATCTCTGAATGCCACAGATTAGGGAACTTTTACATGTATTTGGTTAGAATTAATTCTTGATTCAAGTAACGATTTCACAAATGTTCCCTAAATCTTCAGACCTCTCCTGTCCACACTGATGAGGTCACTGCAGACAGAAACTGATTAAGATAGCACTAGACAATTCTCTCCTAGCCAAAAATGCTAAAACTGATTCTACAAAAATCAAAACAGAGGACAGAAAGAGACATACTGTATCTTCAAGTTCAACATGGAGCACACGATATATGAGGACAGGTTGAGATATGTGGGTCTGTTAAGCCAGAAAAAAAGTCTTAGGGGATTACTAGGGGCTTATAAAGAAGACAGTCTTCTTCACAGTCAGAAATAAAGATGAGAAGCAAGAGGCACAAATAGCTACAAAGAAAATCTGACTGGATAAAAAGAGAAAAAAACACAATCTACAGGAGAATGGTCAAGTGCCAGACCAGGTTGCCCAGAGTGGCTGTGGAATCTCATTTCCTGGAGATACTTTCACTTCAAGTGGACAAAAACCTGATCAACCCAATCTGACTTTGAATTTAGTCTGCCTGTTTGAGAAGGAGATTGAACTGAGCGACCTCCAAAGATCCCTTCTAACCTGAATTATGCTACAGTTTTTCTCATTTTGCTAAGCTACCCAAGCCAAACTTTTTTGTCTCCTCTCATAAAAAAGAACCTCAAACTCATTTTCATCCAAAATGGCAGATAATATCATTTTCCTGTGTCAGTCAAGAATTTATAATAAGTGGGGTGTATTAAACTCAAGTAAATGTTTGTAAGTAGTACATTATCTTATTTACAGGTTGATATAAAATAGAAGCTCAGTAGATGGAGACACTTCACACTGAAATGTATGCAACAGAGTCCCAACAAAGGAAGATATTTTACTCCACGCAAAGTCAAAGTCAACCAAGTACGGATGACACCTGATCTGGCAGTGTGACATTTCCTTCCTTGAAAAGGTGAGTCTATTCCTAAATCAGCAGGAGGAAAACTATCTCTCATATAACTAAGTAATTTTTGGGCAGGATGTCTGAATCTGAACGAATTCCCTGGAAACCTCTAAGGAAACAGTATTGGCCACAGGAGTTAGGACGGTGTACTAGTAGGTGGTTTACACTGTGGGATACAACAGGTTAGAAGGGCAGACAAAGAGATAGAATCAGTGAAGAGAGGGGTACATCTATGCTGGTGAAAAAAGGGAGGACTGGGACCAATGCTTGACCTTGAGGACAGATAGGACGGATTAACAGAAGTCCCCATTGCTTTGGTCCAGTCCCTTCATGAGAAATCAGTCATGTACACCTACAGACTGCTTGGCATTGAGTCTCTTCTGTATCTTACATATTGCCCACAAGATCCTATGACATAATTATTATCTTGTGTCTTTTTTTTTTTTTTTTTAGTCACAGAGTCTCTGAAATAACTTCAGGACTACGTGGCAGCCTATCACTGTCATACCATTGGAGTATGAAACTGCAGGGTTTGTATTGTGTTCTCTGGGAAGCAAAAGGGTACAAAGCCTATTAGAAGACTTTGCTGGGAGTTAGAATCATAGAATCATAGAATCGATTGGGTTGGAAAAGACCTCCGAGATCATCGAGTGTAGAGAAGCAAGATTCAGGATGGGAACAGTTCCAGGCATGGAGAAAAGCATACAGCAATTGGCAGGACTTTCATATGGACTTTACTGTTATTATGTGGTTTCACTGTATTCATGCTACACAGTGCACAACTGCACATGCCCAGGCTTCCTCCTCCCCCTTTTGCCTGTGCCCTGTTCTGATTTGCTCCCCCATTTGTCTGTCTGATAGCCCACCCGATGTTCTACCCCTTTTCCCTGGCGGGACGTTTAAGAATCGGGCTCACGCTGAATAAACAAGTCTGCTTGCACCCTTCCTCGTGTCCTGTCCCCTCTTCTCTTTCGGACCGCAACAATCAAGTCCAACTCTTGGTCCAAATCCAGTCCATTTACTAGATCATGGCACTCAGTGCCACGTCCAATCTGCGTTTAAAAATCTCCAGGGATGGTGAATCCACCACCTCTCTGGGCAGCCTGATTACTCTCTCTGTAAAGAATTTTCTCCTGATATCCAAGAATTTTCTCCTGATATCCAGTTGAACCTGATAGTCTCTTTCTAACTGACTGCTAGATTAGATTTCTGGATTGAACTACTCCCAAAACTGCGTCTGGGTTTTCATCTTGCAGAGAATAAGATAGAGTGGTCAAATGCAGAGCCAGGGGGAAGCTGACAAACAATTACATATCCATGCAGGCACTTCCCTATCATGCCAGAGTTGCTTAGTTTCCTCAAAATTTTTAATAGGACTACCATGGGGTCTGGTGTTAAAACTCACTTCCTGGCCCTGTGTGTTTACCAGAGTACAGGTATGTCTACAAGACCTAGTGTGTCTACAAAACAGATTGTAGAGATTTTTTTCTTATATCGGTACCAGAATCTTAGCCAGTTTTTCTTTGTTTCTATAAACCTTTACAACTGTGCTTTACATTTGGAATTAGTAATTTATCTCTTTTGACTTAAGTACCACAGTAACTAGCTAAAAGACAGTGGTCCCACACCTCTCTTATTTAGCAAGGTATTCCCTTAGATTGGTAAAGAGGCAACAAATCGTTTACTTGGTATTTTAGCAACTGTCCCACTTTCCTAAGATAGCCAAAGGAAAAATGACTGTATCCCCATGGTAGCTGCAAGAGCTGCTTTGAGACTTTGCATCACAAAGATTAGGAAAGCAACTAGTGTGTTCCAGTCACTGTCTAGATTGTAGCAAGGTAATAGATGCTGATCCTGAATGTCCACAGGTATCTTGTGTCCATGCTTGTGTCTGCAGGCATGCTTCCAGATGACCTCCAGTTCCACTGATGCACAGCATCCACACAGTCCAAAACAAAACCTCCTCAAGCACAGAGTGCTCGTGTACACACTGCACAGTACCTGAGTTGGGTCTCCTTGAGGACAGCACGGTGACACTGTGAGTCTAAAACATCAGCAGCAGCACAACTCTGCGTGTGTGTACACGTGTGTGTGTGTGGTGGGATGAGGTTTCAGTTTGAAGGGTATGTAAGGATTATGCTGAACAGACCCCACCAGAGCACTGATTTTATAGCATGATTGTGAAAGACATTGATTATTCTGGGCCTTGGATTCAGCTCAGTGGACTTTAAGGGTGTCTTGAACCTCCTAGGCTAGTGTTGGAGGAAAGTGAAGGCTCGCGAAAGCAAAACCTGGCAACTAGAAGCCATGTCTGCCTGCAGGGAATGACCCCTGCAGGGAATGACTGCCAGAACTACACCAAAGAATGGTTGTCCATCCAAAATGTCCAGGCAGAGCTTTGCTGTATGGTACAGACACTTCCTGGAATCACATTTGCCTCTTTCATGGTAATATCATTTATGCACCACATAGTTCTGTGGTCATCTGATGAACACCCATGTAATAGCAGACATTCCTGTACTTTGTCTTGTATTTGTCTATTGCTTTGTACTTGAAATTGTTAAATGTGATTCCATCTTCTAACTTTTCTCCAATTCTCTTTTATATCCTGTGATTCTATTTTATATTGTCAATATTCAAATCATTTTCTATGTTAATGTTGCCTCTCAATTTTGCATCATGATCAGATTTCATTAGGATATGCACATTTTCGCATGACAATATATACTACATGAAAATATTAAATTAGAGATTGAGATAGACCAAAACTGTTCCTGGGGGAAATTTGCTGCATACTTCCCTCCAGTATTAGGACTATTTTCAGCACAAATTCCCGTCATCTATGTTCTAACTATCCTCTTTTCAGTTCTTATATACAACCCCCTCTTCATAAACTGATGATTCTCTGTGTGGAATAGAAAGGGACTAAGCAACATCCATGTGGATTAAAGCTATGGCTTTGCAAGGGAAAGATAACAAAAGAAAATATTTTTGTCTTTAAAAAAATCATGTTGTTACGATATAATCTATTTCCAGTGAACACAAAACGCATTTTGTCCTATTTATCCAAGACATACTGGCAAAAAAGCAAGTAAGGTCAGCTTTGCTATGTAAGACCTGCCTTCTTCTTTTCTGGTTCTTGTTTTGTTTATATGGGTATATTTAAAATCTACTATTTTAATTGCCTGTACAAGATCTAATTCATCTTATCTTTCAGCAATTTTAAATTTAGTCTACTCTTTTTGCCCTCCAGGAAAATCTTTGGTCTCTTTCTGTATTTCACTAAGGGTGTCTATTTATTTCTGATATACTTTTGATGTTGTTAATTGTCCACCTTGATTCTGAGCCCTTTCATGACAGCTTTTGGATTAAAAATCCATACTATTTCTTGCACTTTTGACTTCAGAACAATCCAGTTCAAGCATTCCCTTCCCTAAGCACTTCAGTCCAGCCTGCCTCACTATATAGTTTTCTCAGCTTGTCAAAATTTGCTCGTTTAAAATCCTCACTGTATGTACAGATCACTCTTGTTAATCCTTCTGTTTCATCACCAGTGTTTGCCAGACAACAAGAAGCTCCTTGGTGAATTCTCTTAGTCTCAAATACTGTGAGCTCTGTTGGTTTTGGCTATGGTTTACATGACCAGATGAATGAGTGTGAATGAAGTTGTTTTACCTAAGGCACCTCACTTGCATTTGTTTGCAGAGAAGATGAATGTAGTGCCCCTGGCTTTCCTGTCCTACCTGCATGTATAGACATTTGACTGTTTTAAAATATATGGTCCTGTGGAGGGAGTCATATAAATGTCTCTGTCTAAGATAGTCACTGCAGGTTGCCCCTAGAGTCCCTGAAGAGAAGCAGACATTTTAAGGCTGCAAATCAGAAATTAATATTTATGGTCCTTCCAGTGACTAGTTTTGCATGGGGAGACCAGACAGTTATCTCAGAAGTAGCCATCTACACTGCAGATGACTACTGTTAAAAGGAGATGAATCAAACTCCTGCAGTGCTTTAACCAGTTGCTTCTGAAACAAACTATTGCACCCATTTTAGTGCTAATGAGGCTTTGGAGTCTCTCTGCTGCCCATTAACACTTCTGGAGACAGGACACTGGTTACTGGGGCCTTTGATATAATAAAGGGTGGCACGTTCTTATTGCTGATATTCTTCAAGATAATTATGTCACTTAAATTTTACTTCACTGATAATTAACAGTAGTGAGATTCTCTTGCTGGATAATAATTAGTATTATACCTCAATACTCCTGTATGTATTAAGCACAAAAGACAATGCTTGCTCAAAATGAGGTGCTGGTCTGAATATCTGGCTTAAATTATATATTAGATTTTGTACAGAATATGATAGTTTCTGGGGACCTCTATATTACGTAGTGCATACAAGCTGGTGTATGTTCATACAAGGTTATCTACTAAAGATAATTACTCAGTTGTCACAAACTGCAAAAATTCTGTTCTAATAAACCTACACATAATTGCCTAAAACTTTATGGTTTGCTTAAATTTGCATGGCCACAAAAAAAGGACACAATTGCTTTCTTCACACTGAATCATCCTGATTAGTCTTGCTTTCTTATATTTTTAGTTAAGTAGTCAATAAAGATTAGAAATTTAATATGTCTTCCTTCAAGCCAGGAATGGCTTTCCCTCTGATCGTCCAAACAAAAATTTACTACTGGAAATATTATTCTAACAGTAAATAATGCAATTAAGCATTTGCTTTCATTTGGTTATTTAATCTTTAGGTCCAACAGACCTTTTCTCTAAATGTATGTCTTGATTTGTTATTAATCAGATGTGTAAAGTAATAAATGATTTCTGAGGAAATATGTCAATTTTTACTGTAAGTCTAAGGAGAGCAGAGAAAACTGCACCCACTATTATATAGTAATGACATACCTTGACATCTGGACCACTTTATGATATTATTATATCTTCAGGCTGACATATAAAAGAACAGTAATACCAATATTAAGCAGTATAAAAGTACCGAGTGCTACTGACATTTTGACATAAGAAAGCTTAAGGTGATGTACAGATACTCAGTGCCAAAAATTACCTGACTTCTACAAGCTCAGCTGAAGCAAAGTCTGGTGAGGTGGAGGTGAATTTCCCCAGCAAGTGGTGTGCGGTGATGGAAGGAAACAGTAACCACCTCCATTTCAGGAACAGGAATTTCCGCAGCAGGATAGTTGCTCACGGACTATTGAGTTGTACAGTCATGACATTTTTCAGGTAATCACTTTTCATCAGCTTAAGCCCTTCTTATCCTTGTGAATATTTCAGCAATATTCACGACAGTACTCAGGGTGTAATATTTGCAGAGGTATTTTAAAATATGTATTTTTTTTATCAGAACTGTGTCTGGGTTTTTCCACAATATTATAAGCTGACTATTCTCTGGTTTTCACTTGCGTTGGGTAACTCTACTCATCCTTTCTGATTATTAATTGGACATAAAACTTTCAAAACAGTTGGGTAGGAAAAAATGGATAGCAAGTACTATGTGTGAAAAAACAGATTTCTTTTTTATAAACACACAGCTACATCCATGAGGAATACTCTCATGATTGTGATGAGCATTTAAAAACCCATTAGTTCAAAAAGACAGTTGGAGTACAAGTGTAATTGTACAAGGTAGTTCATTGG